GTTTGTTTCTATATTTTGATATTTGTGTGGAGGGACAAGAAGATTTTTGATTAGCTATGTTTAATGGTGGCTGGAGTTGTTGCTTTAAAAAGTCATGTATGCATAGATGCGTTCATGTTTTTCTTCCTTCTGGAGTTGTGAGATTACTATGAGAGAGGGGACTGCTTTTTTGGAAAAGCTTGTCTCTTCTTTTTCCAAGTGAATGTTTCTCCCTCTTCAGTGATCTTATTTACCAGTAATGTGTTGGTAAGATTTAGGTTTAAGGGGAAAGAATTTTAGGTTAGACTAGGGGCCTGGGTGGAATTAACAATAACAACACAGAGGTGTTTGGTTTATTTGTGTGAGTCATTGTTCTGTTTATCTTTGGAATTTGTGGCACATAGTAACTAGCAAACTAGATTTGGACATTTCTGCTTGGCTTGATCTTAACACAATAATCTTTTCTTGATTTCTGACTGTGTTTGATACTTTTTCTGTGCTCTAGGATACTCTGTCAGTTGTTTTTTTAATGTTCTATGGAAAGCCAAGCTTTTATTTGTTTGGTCTACTTGATCTGTCAAAGATGCAAGGGTGTTTTAAAAATTAAAAAAAATTACATAACTTTTTTCCTTGATATATTTTGTGGAATTTTATATTTAGTGTATATATAAAAGTACACATTATCCTCTTCACAAATTATGACTTTTAGAGATTTTTAAAAACTCTTTGTCACTCAGTGATTTGACTTGAGTATTGTTCTCCTTGTGCAATAATGAGTTTTTCTTTCCTTAATTTGAATTTTCCTGTTCTGGTTTTGCTCATTCCTTTTATTTACCCCTTGTGATTTTTGTTATGCTTACCTTTGTGAGCAGGGGAATGCCCAGATTCAATTTCGTTTTATTAGAAAATGCTGATTGCGGCCCATTAAATGAACTTCATAGGCTACAACCAGCAGTTGGAAAATACTTGAGATGTGTTTTTCTGTACAGAAAGGACGTTGACTTCTGATTAGAACAGACCTAGATCTGATTCCTGCATCTCTTTCATTTACCAACTTTGTGACTTTTAATCACTTACTTATCTGTTCCTCATTTTTTTTTGTAAAATTGCAATATATACATTCATATTTTTTTCCTCAAAATTAAAAGGCAATGTATGAAACAAGCCTAGATTAGAGACCCAATGAAGTTAGCTAATAGCATTTTTGCATTATATGTCTGTCATTCTTAATGTCTTAAGTCCCCCAATTTTAAAACACTAAAGAAAATGGCAGAATGCTCCCATGTTTTCCAGATCCTTTGTGGTTTTTTTTTTTTTTTATTTTTGCTTCCTCTAAAGAGTAAAGACTCCTTTTGTATGAAAATCTTATGTTGTATAAACATTTCTCTTTTTAAAAAATTTTTTTAATGTTTGTTTATTTTTGAGCGAGAAAGTGCAAACAGGGAAGGGGCAGAGAGAGAGGGAGACAGAATCTGAAGCAGGCTCCAGGCTCTGGGCTGTCAGCACAGATCCCAATGCGGGGCTTGAACTCACGAACTTTGAGATCATGACCTGAGCCAAAGTCGGACGCTTAACGTACTGAGCCACCCAGGTGCCCCTGTATAAGCATTTCTATCATGAAACTCATAATGCCGAATTTGTAGCATTTTTAAAGTAGGAAATGTATTTCTCTTATATAACTCTTAAAGTAGATTTTTCCAAGTGACATATATTCTCTTAGCTGGTGGCACCTACCGGCAAAGATGTATCACGACTTAGAGCTTATTGTACCTACACGTAGACTCAGCTCATAAAGCAGTCTGGGAAAGATGAGAGGAGACTCGGAATATTTTGTGCCTACCAAAGTGGTCATTTCCTTTGTCTACCAGAAACCTGGGTCTGGTGAAATGAGAGGAGGGAGGACTTCTGCATGCTATTGCCCTAGTCCAGTGTTTTCCAGTATTTGCTGAGCTCTTGTTAAATGAGGTATTGTTATAATAAGAGAGGTGTCCATGTCCAACAAACTTGGGAAAGCTAGGTTAAACTACTATCTTAACCTGATTGTTACTTACGAGACATCTCTGAACCTTTAGTGTCTTAAGTGTTGTTTTTTTTTAATATTTTTATTTATTTTTGAGACAGAGAGAGACAGAGCATGAGCAGGGGAGGGGCAAGGAGAGACGGAGACACAGAATCTGAAGCAGGCTCCAGGCTCTGAGCTGTCAGCACAAAGCCCGATGTGGGGCTCAAACTCACAGACCGTGAGATCATGACCTGAGCTGAAGTCGGATGCTTAACCGATTGAGCCACCCAGGTGCCCCTTAACGAAGTGGTTTTTAACCTCGGGGGTGGGGAGGGAGAGAGCAAGTGTTTGTGCAGCATATAGCATTTGTCAGATTTTATTAGACCGTGGGACCCTTTTTTCTCTGAGCATCTCTTATGTCACCTGGAAGACTCTTGGGAAATGATCCTCTGATCAATGTAGCTTCAGAGTAGCATTTTCCCTTTGGCAGCTTCTCCTCAGGGCTTTATAAGAGAAGTTGAAAAGATATGTATGATGGGGGAGCTATTCCGGCCACCCCAGGGCTTTATTAAATACAATTTTATTAAATCGTATCTTTTTATCCACTTTTATCAAGCCTTAAGAGAATAGTTGCTATTTTTATCAGAGGGGTTGTTTCTTTCTCATCTGTATAAATAAACACCATTTCTCTGTTTTGGAATGAGTGAAAGGAAGAAAGACAGTTGTTTCTTGTGTAATCTGTAGGGACTTCTGACTTTTTATTTCCTCCCTGAGTAAGGAAAGTATTTAGGTGGCTTAGGTCAGAAGAGTTCTGGTGGGTTCAGACTCCTGTATAACAGAAGTTCTTACTTTAGTTGTTTTAACATTGTATTTATTTTTGAGAGACAGAGCCTAAACGGGGGAGGGGCAGAGAGAGAGGGAGACACAGAATCTGAAGCAGGCTCCAGGCTCTGAGCTGTCAGCCCCACAACATGGGGCTCGGACCCACCAACTGTGAGATGATGACCTTAGCCGAAGTCGGATTCTTAACCAACTGAGCCACCCAGGCGCCCCAAAAGTTTTTAGTTTAAAACCCTACATATATGCATTCCTCATACATTTCCTCAGGTGCCTGAAGATGGGGGCAGGGACTTGCCATTTTTCTTCTACTTTATACGCTTACTCTTCATGTTTCCAGCCATGGTTTCTTCTTGTTACTCTCTTAGAACCCAGGACGTTGTGACCTTGCAAAGATGGCTTTGTAACTACTAGTTGGACCCAGCAGATGAGGTATTAAGTCACTGTTTCCACTTTGTTCACTCCCCTGCCAGCTTTATGAATCTTAAGTCCTTCAAGATAGCAGTAAAAGGAAAATTACATGGAGAGAGAAGTACTACTTTTGTTTTTCTCTTCTCCACCCTCTTCTTCCCATTCAGGATCATTTATTACCGTCTACTCTAGACCTGTTTTGGACTCTTGGACACAATGTCCTCCTCTCTAGCTCATGGTTGGCTTTCCACATGTGGGGAACCCTGACCGTTTGCCCTTCTCCCCCATTGCAGACCTTGGCACTGTGGGACTTGTAAGATTTTATTGAGGGAGCCAGTGGATTTTCTCTACAGGCAGCCATCTGGAGCCATTCTGTCAAAGCCTGAGGTTAAAAAGTGTGAGACGATAACACTTAAGGGAAAGTAGCATCTTCAAAGCTGGGCATGAATGATTTTTTGAGTACCAGTTACACACCAAACACTGTGCTGGGGAGTCTCCATCCCACAGTACCTCTATATGGTTTGTATTTGTCCATGGGTAAAACACCTTACTCAGAATCACACACACACACACACACACACACACACACACTGAATAAGTGACCACCTTACAAATGCAACGTGTCTCTGGTTTCAAAGCCTTTGACTGTTGTACTACATACTGTATTCCTGATCAGAGCGAGCTATGTGACCTGCAAAGCACTAGTGTTCTGTAGTGATTCTTCTGTCATTACCCACGTTGGGAAATACTGTGTGGGTGCAAACATTTTATGACTTGAAGAAAAAAAGGAAAAATAGGGAAGTTTTGAGAGATAGGCTTATCCCTAAAGGCAGTAAACAGAATCTTGTAAACACCAGTGACTTAAACAGATCTATAGGATTCTTTTGAATAATACTGTGGAGTGTTCCAGTTTATCTTTTGTACCCCAATCTTAGAGCTTTAGGTTTGGGAAAGAATCTTAGAGGTTCTTGAATGGTTAGTCCTTTCGGAGCACTACTCTCCCACTTCCCCTTCTCATTAAGTTTCCATTTAGCCATTAGGTAGGAGCTTCAAAAGGGAAAATCCAGTCATGTATAATCTCTAGTTAATGGGCATCTGTTGAGCGACTAGGTCACCAGACAGAATAATCACACAGTGAGTGCCTCTTTGTGCGGTAAACACAAAAATCAAAAGCTAATGCGTTCCCAAGGCAAGCCAGATTGTTACTGGCTACCAGCATCCTCCCCTTCAGGGAAGAAGTTGGGGCACCCACCACTGGTGCTTGCTAAGGGAGATTGCAAAGCCGGTCTAGAAAAACAAGGTTATCAAGGAAGGAAAGAGAAAAGCAAGGGGGGACTTCCAGAGCTTGGCGGTACTAATTGCAGGTGATGGTTGGGATGGATTACTGAATAGCAGACATTCTAGTAAATGTTTGTGCAGTCAAAGAACTAAGTGGGTCTCCGTGGCTTCTTGCCACAAGTTAAAAGAATAACAGTGATGGTTGAGGTAGAGCCTCAGCCCCAGTCCCATAATTTAGCTTGTTTTCTAAGTATGCCCAGCCTTCATAAATAAAGACTTTATGCTTAGTTTTGTCCAGCAACTAACTGTAACTTCAACTAATGTATGAAGATGAGCACAACCCTTTTGACCCCAAAATGGCATCTGTTAGTCACAAGCCAAATAGTTCTTGGGTTGGTGTTGGTACATTCTACTTTGGGTTTTCAAAATTATATTTTGGTGTAGGATTTGCAAAACTCGGCATAATTCAAATAACCTGTTTTTCCCCCCTTAGAACACTTCAGTTATGGAGGATCAAAATGAAGATGAGTCCCCAAAGAAAAATACTCTTTGGCAGGTAGGAATGACGACGCACAGATAAGAGCAGTTGACTTACTATAGATAAGATGCTCCCTCAGCTCATGTCCTCAGTGAAAACCAGAGCCAAGCAAGCGTTTTTGTTTTCTTTTGTGCAATTTTGCTAGTTTCAGAATTCACCCTAATTTATCTTCTGTTCCTCAGGGAAGTGTCATTACGAATAGTAAAAAATTTTGGAGTTGCTACAAAGATTCTGAAGTGTCTGTAGCCTAAAATACTCAGTTTGTCGCCACAGTCCAAGCCAAAGATGGTCAGTGGTGGCATCCTTTGTCACCAGAATAGCACCGTGCCATGGCAGTGTGTGTGCATTGGTGATTTTGTCTCCCTACCCTCACCCTTCTCCCCCATTTCTTTCTTGTTAGTTTGCCCTTTCCTTTCTTCTTTCTTGGTTCTTTTTAGTCCTGCCAGTTTTCCTCCCAATTCCCCAGGGTTTTTTTTGCCCTAGCTACGGGGAGGGATGCTATGTAAAGTTTCATGATTGGATCTTTCCATCAACCATTATGGTGCAAATAACTTTGCCCCTCAGAAAGACACAGTAAGAGGCAAATAAACCTAAAGATGAAGAGAATAATGTTAAAAAATATTCTCTGCGTTCATTTGATTTGAAATGAGAGGAGTAGATGAGTTAGCAAGAATAAAGTATGCCCAACAAATTTACGATGAAATAAGCAAAGCAAAACAATGTCAGGAAAATCTGGGCTCAGCAGGTGGCTAGAAGTAGAAATGGGAACTGTGCTGTAGAACTGTGCACTTGCCACTGCGTCGGGGGAACTGTGTGCAGCTTGATGTCTGTTCCTCCTTCATGCTCCGTATTTTCCAATAGGGTTCTCTTCATTGACTATTCATTTTTCAGTTCAGTGGTTCTTAACATTTTGGCTTTCAGTTTTTCTTTCGTAAGTTCTTTTAGTTAACTAGTTAATGGTATACCAATGCTGTAGGGAAGTTAGATGTTTAAGAACCCTTCTGTAAATGAAATAATAATCTCTTTGCTTATCAAATGATAATGGATGTGAAAGTATTTTGGAAATTATAAAGCAGTACACAAATGCAAGTTGTTACCATATATTTAACCTGTCAGGAAAGCAATTATTTTGACAAGTTACAATGAGTAAAATGTAGAAAAGAAGGAGGAAGGAAATACGGCTGTTTTTTTTTTAATATATCCTTTATTCTGTTTTGTGTGTTCCCCATTGCACAAACCGTGATTGTAATGCTGTATAAAATTCTGCATCTTGTCTTTTGTTCCTTAATATTGTTTCATAAACACGTTCTCTTGTTATTACGATGTTACTATATAAACCTAATTTTAATGGCTTCATTATAGTACCTTATGTAGATGTATTATTATTTGCTTTAACCAGTTGCCTATAGTCGGGCAGTTACTATAACATTATACTCAACATCCTTATACTTAAAAGTAGCAGAGATGTCCCTTATACTAGCTGATACTCACCACCGTGAAGAATTTTCACTTCTGACTGTTTTGAACGTTGATTTTTGGGCTCTGTCAGAGGTCTTAACTACAAGCAGCATCATAAATTTCTGTTCAATGCTGCCCTCTGGTGGTACCCAGTGTCAGCTCTCCATCCAATTTCCGGGGTTGGGGGGGGAACATTCCTAGAGAAGGAGGTAGTAAGATAAATGGGATGGGAGGTGAATGCCTTCTCACTATGTACCTTTAAATGTGGACATAAAAACTTGCTGCAGAGAGGTATGATATATAAGATTTTAATAAGGAAAGTCAGACTCCTTTGGTTATTTATGAAGGATGTCTTCTTTCTGGGATAGATTCAGTTAAATTAGGGGACATAGTGATAACAAAGCTCTTGGTTCTTTCTGTGTAAAACTTCTGAGATAAGCTCGTACATGGAGTTAATGCATGTCTGTAATATAACTCTTCAGTTTTCAAAATTCTCTTCTAGGCTATTTCTGGTGTTACACATGAAGGGGCTCCCAAAGGAGTGACTGGTAGATAGCTTGGCAAATGTTTGACAAAAACATTGAAGTAATTTTGGTTTTAAACAGGGATGTTACTGAGCCTTATAACACCAGTGGCAGTTGTGGCTTCAGTCTGGGGATTCCAATTTTTTTTTTTTTTTGATGCTGTTGTCAGATAAAGTATATGTAGTTTTTATTTTTTAAGAAATATACTGGTTTTATGCAAGAACCATCATCCATGTAGCTTTGAGGAGAAATGATGCATAGGTAGTATAGGAGTCTGTGGGATATCATCGACCAACTCTATAGGATGAGAATCTTTTGAGGTGTATGTGGTTCACCTTGGGTTGCTTTCAGAATAGGTGAAGAAAAAAAAGGAGTGAAAGTCTAAACTGTTATTTGCTAGCAGTCTAGTAGCTCTGGTAACAGTTTGGAGATGGGTTCAATTTTTAGATTGAATTGCCTTCAGATTTCTTCATTAAATGGACCAGTGGTTTTCAAAGTGTGGTCTCTAAAGTGCATTCTCCGGACCATCAGCACCAATACCACCTGGGAACTTGCAACTTCTCAGGCTCTACTCCAGACCTATAGAATGAGGACATCTGTGGTGGAGCTTGGCAGTCTGTCTGTTAAGAAGCCCTCTTGTTACTCTGATGCACACACAGGTGTGAGAACCATTGGCTAGATGAATATAGCATTGACTTTGATCTTTGAAGAAGTAAAGCAAACTACTAATAGTCAATCAGTTGCTATTTTGCCAAGTTGAGCACATTCTCTAAGATAGTTATCTCTGACATTGGTTATCTAATAACCACATGGTTTTGGAATAAGCATTGGAGAATGATGACTTGGGACACCAGATAGCTTTATAAATAGCTGTAAATTTGACATTTACTTTAGAGACTTAATTTGAGGCCCTAAATACATTTTAAATTACTTCATGAACGAATTAATAAAGGAATGAGTTTGGCTTCAGGGTATAACTGGTATTTTAAGATTAAATACACAGGGTGAAAAATGTTTCCAATAAAATACTAATTAGAGTTTTTTTCTTTGTCAAACTAATTATTTTTTTTGTTTATTTTTCTAAAATAGATAAGTAATGGAACATCATCTGTGATCGTCTCCAGAAAGAGGCCATCAGAAGGAAACTATCAAAAAGAAAAAGACTTGTGTATTAAATATTTTGACCAGTGGTCTGAATCAGATCAAGTGGAATTTGTGGAACACCTTATTTCACGAATGTGTCATTATCAGCATGGACATATTAACTCTTACCTGAAGCCCATGTTGCAGCGAGACTTTATTACCGCTTTACCAGGTAACTGTACTTGTCTTTTAAAAAGCTGAGCAGTAGAAGAATGTCTAGTCCAAGGGCCTACGCATAAATCAGTAGATATTTGTGAAATGAATGAATGAGTACAATGTGACTACAGTGTGAGTTTCTTTGGTACCCATACTATATTTTATTATGGCATTGGAAAAGGAGTTATAATTTAGGATCTGTATAGGAAATGTAGGCAGTTGCCACGATTAGTGGTGTTGATCATTGGTCATACCATTGTTTAGTTTAATGAGCTAATGCTATCCTGTTTTTTAAAGTGTTTATTTATTTTGAGGTGGGAGAGAGGCAAAGAGAGAGGGAAAGAGAAACCCATGCAGGCTGTGTACTGTCACCACAGAGCCCAATGCAGAGCTTGATCCCATGAACTGTGAGATCAAGACTTCAGCTGAAATCAAGAGTTGGACGCTTAGCTGACTGAGCCACCCAGGCATCCCTATGCTGTTAGTTTTGATGTAGCCTATATATAATCTGGATTTTGCTTTTATAAGTAATTTAAAAAATATATGAGATAATTTTTCCTACAGCATTTATGTTTAAACAGTGTCCCAAAGTTTAGGATGTTCATTTGTACTTAAAATGACACTTAGGGTAGGGAATGGTACAAATGTCTTGGAAAAACTGATGGCATGTCTTTATTACATTTTTTGAAAAACTTATTTCTGGATCTTCTCCCTCACCACTTCTCTTTTTCTCTCTCCCTCCCTCTCTGTCTCTCTCTCTCCCTCTTCCTCCCATCCCCATACTCCTCTGGTTAAGTTTACTTTGATTTAAAAAAAAAAAA